GTGGTGGTTAAGGCACTGGATTCTCCCACCATGGCCCACCGGAGTTCAAGTCCCAGATCTGGTGGCTTGCTTCCTCTCTCTCTTCCTCTCTCTTTCTCTCTCTCTCTCTCTCTGTCTCTTTCTGGTCAAGTTAAAATAAATGAATGGGGGCCCGCAGGTGGTCTGGTAATTGGGGTGCTGGATATTCCCACATGACCAACCATGGTTCAAGTCCCAGACCTGGTGGCTTGATTTCTCACTTTTCTTCTCTCTCTGTGTCTGTCTTTCTCTGGTTAAATTAAGAAAAATGAATGAATAAATAAACGAATAATTCATTAAAAAATTAATGAATAAATAAAATAAAATAAATAATAATTCTTTTTTTTTTTTTGGAGAGGTTTTTACCATAGTGCATGTGCGCTCGCCACAAAGAGGGAAAGGCAGAAAGTGAGAAATCACCCCCTAGGGGGGATGGCCACGCCACAATCCCTTCTCCTCCATTCTCCTCTCGGGATCTTGGGCATGCATGCACACGTGCCCAGCGTGAGTTTAAACCACCGGGTCCGAGACTTGAACTGCGGTCAACTACATGGGAGTCCAGTGACATAGCCATTACGCCAACTGCTGGTCCCCCTAAATAAATAATCCTTTAAAAACTCTTTTTATTTATTTTTATTATTCAATTTGATCAGAAAGAGAGAGAGAGAAAGAGAGGAAAAGGGAGAAAGCGAGCCTCCAGGTCTGGGAATCGAACCGCAGTCAGTCATGTGGGAGTCCAGAGCCTTAACTACCATGTCAACTGCCAAACTGCCAGCGCATCCTTTTTTTTTTTTTTCCTTTTGCTGGAGGATGCATGCACTTGCCAGAGAGAGACAGAGGGAGAGGGGGAGAGTTGAGAAAGCAGCCCCCCGGGGAATATCCATGCCACAATCCCCCCTCTGCCATTCTCCTCTCAGAATTTCGGGCATACATGCACACATGCCTGGTGTGCTTCTCAATCTACCAGGTCTAGGACTCAAACTGCATGGTCGTCACGTGGGATCTGGCTGCCTCAACTGCCACGTGCAAGGGCCTCCCTGTATGCCCGTTCCTTTTTTTTTGGGGGGGGCGGAGTTGGGGAGGCATAGGGCATGTGAGCTTGCCAGATACAGAGACTAAGAGAGAGAAATCACCCCCAGGAGGGATGGCCATGCCACTATCCCTTCTCCATTCTCCTCTCAGGATTTTGAGCATGCACACACACGCACCGTATAGCAAAAACCTCTCCTAAATAAGTAAATAAATACAAACTAGTCCTTGATGTCGAAAAGGTTGGGGAGGGACCAGCAGTTGGCGTCATGGCTGTGTCGCTGGACTCCTGCATAGTCGACCACGGTTCGAGTCCCGGACCCGGTGGCTTAAACTCACGCCGGGCGCGTGTGCGTGCGTGCCCAAGGTCCCGAGAGGAGAAAGGAGGAGAAGGGATTGCGGCGTGACCATCCCTCCGGGGGGTGATTTCTCACTTTCTGTCTCTCTCTGTCTGGCTGGTGAGCGCACGCACCCTACAGTAAAAAAACCCCTCCCAAAAAAGAAACAAAACAAAACAAAATAAAACAAAAAGGTTGGGGACTCCTGGCCTGGGGGGGTGGGGTGGGGCACGTGCTTCCCAAGTGAGTGACACGGTGCCGAGGCTCTGGCTCCAGGATGAGGCCGAGGCAGGGCCCGGCCGGGGACACTCACCAAGAAGCGGATCCTCTTTATGCTGAAGGTGTTGGAGCTGCGGAGGTGGTCGGCCAGGCGCCCCGGCGTGGCGATCACCACATGGGGCTTCCGGGACAGCTCCAGCGCCTGGGCCACCATGTCTGCGGGTGGAGGGAGAGAGGTGGGGCTGGAGGCGAGGTCCCAGACTGCAGGCGGGCGGGGGCAGGTGCCACGTCCACAGCCTCCCCTGGCATCACCCTTCCCCCCCAGGGCCCCATACCCATGCCGCCAACGATGATGCAGTCCTTCAAGCCCAGTGGCTTCCCCAGCACCCGGAACTGCTCTGCAATCTGGTAGGCCAGCTCCCTGTGGGCGAGAGGGGCCGCCGGGCTTGTCTCTTGTGCCATCTCTGTCCCCAGGGCCCCTCCAGACTCCTGACTCACCCTCTTCTGCTCACGACCCTCCACTGAGAAAACCTCTGATGCTGAGTGTTGGGGGCCTTTTGGGGACCCTGTCCCTTCACCAGGCTCGGCCCTGGAAACTCCTGTAGCTGCTTCTCCACCAGCCTCAGCATGGCCTCAGCCTGTCCCCACCCCAAATTTGTGCCTTCTTTCACGTCCTTTCCTCTGCAGTGGCCTGGATGCCATGCGGTCGCCCCATCCAGACATTAGAGCGTCAACTCCTCCCCTGTAGGGCTGGTTGGTGTTTAAATCTCTCTTACTCTCCGGCCACAGCTCCACCCAGGCCTCTTCCTGGCCCATGACCTGGCTTCCAGGCCTCCAGCTCATGTCCTTCCGAATCCATTCTACTCCTCTGCTGGCCACTCAAAGACCTTGGCCAGGTTCTAATATACCTAGCTACCAGTCCCCTTCCGGCCGCATGATCTCGTGGGTCCTTCTGCCTAGGACACCTTTCCCTAAACTTGTCCTGTTCAAGGTCTCTTTTTCTTTTCTTTTCTTGCGCTCACCAGAGAGATGGAGAGAGACAGAGAGACAGAAAGCGAGAAATCACCCCCCAGGGGGGATGGCCAGGCTGCAATCCCTTCTCCTCTCGGGATCTTAGGCATGCATGCACACGTGCCTGGTGTGAGTTTAAGCCACCATCAAACCACAGTTGATTACATGGGAGTCCAGCGACATAGCCATTGTGCTATCTACAGCAAAAACCTCTCAAAAAAAACTCAAAACAGGGAACCAGCAGTTAGCGTAATGGCTATGTCGCTGGACTCCCACGTAGTCGACCGCGGTTCGTGTCCCGGACCTGGTGGCTTAAAACTCA